GGGCCTGATTTGACATGGCATTCTTACAGCAGAGACACTGGAGAAACACAGAGGTTAAGGACCAAAGTCAGGCAACTGGAAAATGACCAGTGGTGATTTAAACCCAGGTTCTCCCATCAGAAATTTACGTCACCTCCCTTCCAGGTTAGAAGGTTTTCTTTCTCCTCCTCTCTGTGTGTGTCCTCAACATGATGTCTTTCCTGGAGGCACCCATCCCTGGTGTCCGTTTTAGATTTCACGGGGACATTCCTCATGCTAGATTAGGTCCCTGCACTAGCAGCCTCATTTGAACTTCACCTTTTTTAAAAATCCGATCTCCAGGGTCCCATGTGGTAGCATAGTGGCTACCGTCTGCGCTTTGCATGTGCTAGGATTCCACATGGGCAGCAGTTCATGTCCCAGCTGCAACACTTCCCTTCCAGCTCCCTTCCTGTGGCCCAAAAGTCTTGGGACCTTGCACCTGCATGGGAGACCCAGAGAAGGCTCCTGGCTTTGAAATCGGCTCAGCTCCGGCCATTGCAGCCACTTGAGGAGTGAACCAGCAGATGGAAGATCTTTCTGTCTCTCCTCTGTAAATCTAACTTACCAATAAAAATAGTTAAACAAACAAACAAATAAACAAACAAACAAAATCTGATCACCAAACAGTTACATCTTGTGGTATCTGGTTGTGATGTCAACATACGAGTTTTAGGAAACACAATTAAGCCTATACTACTTGTTAAAGGATCAAACTCAAATGTTCTAGGCCTTCCTCAATTTCTTCAATTGTCATACTGCTAATCAGATGAGAAAACTCACACCACAATATCTATCAGGGTTTCTGACACTTAGAATCCTCCCATAATAGATGATAACATTTATGTCGGGGAAGTAGCGACACAGTCTATGGCATCTTGCAGGCTGAGAGGAGGGGGCAGAGCCCGCAAGGGGAATATGGGAGGGGGGGTTCCCTTGCTGGACTGCTACTCCCACTGGAGAGCATGAGCTGGGATGGGGGCAAACCAGACTAGGCAGGGCTACAACACCTGTGCGCCTCATGTGGACCAGATCAGGGAAAAGCCAGGCTGGGCGGATTGTTCTTACTGGTGCAAACAAAATTAGAGTGGGTGAGGGTTGTTTGGGCTTAGCCACAGCATCAGCTGGCAGAAGCTGGCACTGGGGGCTAATTCTGTCAAGTCAAATGCCAGAACTACCTGGAGAGTGCATAATCTGGGAGTGGGAATGGCCTGGGAGGGCAATAATGGACTCCTCCCTCTTGGGTTACCACTCCCATAGGAAGGCATGAAAACTAGGACAGGGGCTGGGGTGGCTAGACAGACACCCAACAACATCCGTGAGGGCTGGATAGTTGAGCTGGATAGATGGAACTAGGCTTTAACACCCATTGACATGTATGATAGCTGAATGGGATGTGGGACAGACTGGACTAGTCTGCTATACATACTGGCAAACCAGGGTAGGGGGCGGGCTTGGAGGGGGTTATTGTGGGTCGCTCTGACTAGGCTGCAGCTCCCACTGGTTTGTGTGAGGGCCGAGTGTGTGCTGGGCAGAACCAGGCTGGACTGCAACACTCATTGGTTCCAGTGGAAGTCGGGGCTGAAAACAGAACCAACCCAGCAATTGCAACCACCAGCTGATTGGGGCAATGGACTGTACAGGGCCTTATACTTGCTAGTACATACAAGAATCTGGTCTGGGAATACCTCAGACGAAGTTTCTTTGGGGATCTCCCCAATCGAACTGCCAGACTCAGAACCCTAACCACCAAAAGACAAAGGACGGAACAAGTCAATCAACCACCTCAGGTATACGTTGGCAGTGAAAACTGGGCAAACGGAGACTCTATGATGGACTACGTTAGTCAGTGGATTCTTCAACAACCTCATCGTGCTTGGAATGGTGAGACTGGCAGCAATTCATAAATGTTGAATTAGCAAATCCACTTGAGCAAGACCTTTGGAGCATGCCCCACATCAGGGACCTGGGGTGGGTGGGAGACTGGGTGGGGCTTCTCCCTTAAAATTCCCCTTTATGTCAGATATATGAAGGAAACAATATGGAAATGATAGTCTTACTCATTTTTCTATAGCCCTTGAACCTTGTTACCCTAATTAACTACGTAAAGATTGTCAAAAATATAATAAAAACAATGTTTACATACATAGTCAATCAGGGTAGGAAAGAACTAGGGTTAGGGAGAAGTGGGTGAGATCATTGTTTCCAAGTTTTCTATATCTGCTTCCCATTTCTGGGGGGAGGGGAGAGATAAAGGCCTAAGCCATAGCCAACCTCCTCACCATCCCAGTACCCAAGCATGGAGAAAGGCCACCTGATAACAACCCAGGCTCACACTGGCAAACCAAGATCTTACCCACCTTCTGTACCACTGAGGAGGTAGCTCCCTGGTCATTTCCCCACGTGTCTTACTAAAAGTTTTCTCAGTTCCCTTCAAACTTCATAACATACAGAAGAGATGAAGTTCAAACTAACCAAAATCTAGCTCAAAAGGTGGAAGAAACTATCGTCCAGGGACTACATCTGAATTTCCTTCATGCATTCTGCTACCTTGCAAACACACCTGGCTGTAGTCCCACAATGATGATGCCTCAGAAAAGCAACACCTGCTTCAGATAATAGGACCTAGGGCTTTACAAAAATGGCACTGCATAGTACACGTGCCTAGTACAAGGCATGCTTCCGAGCGGTTTCATCACCAATCAAACCCAATGACATGTCTGTGCTAGCTCTCTACACAGTCACCTGACGAAAACTTTACTTGCATTTCACAGGTGAGCACAGCAAGGCTAGACGTGTTTCCCTCAAGGTGGAAGTTTGCGAATGACCCACAGAGCCAGAAGCCACCCTGCTATCTCTTTGGCCTACAGCCAAGGTTCCCCACAGAAGGCCACCATGTTCCTGGCACTCTCTCCTCCGTGCCTAGCACAGAGCAGGTGCCAGGTAGAAGTAGTGGGATGATCTGGGAGATGCTTAGCTGTAGAATTCCTTTGTTATGGTGCTGAGCCACCCTGGCACCTGCAGAGCATCCACTCCCAGGGCCAAGTGCAATGACGGCATCCATGGGGTTTGCTGCCATCTCCAGGGTCCGACACCCTGGCTGAGAGTTCAAGATCAGTTAGATCACACAACATTCCTCCTTTTGTGACAGCAGACATTGCTTTTCAGTCACTGCCAGATGAGGGACACCAACAAGAAGGGGTGAGTGGCGGTATAAGAACTCTGGTGGGCCTGGCGCATATACTGGCAGGGCAGGTAAAGTTGCCTCTGGTGCCGGGATCCCATATGGACACCAATTCATGTCCTGGCTGCTCTACCTTCCATCCAGATCATTGCTCAGATGCCCAGGAAAGCTGTGGGAGGTCCAAGCCCACTAGGACCCCTGTCTGCAGGGATGTGTGAGTCCTGGATGAAGTTCCTGGCTCCTGGCTTCAGATGAGCTCAGCTCTGGTGATTACAGTCATTTACAGAGTGAACCAGCAGATTTTAAATGTCCCCATCACTCTAACTCGGCATTCCAAGGATATCTTCATTTGTATGTACGTGTATATGTGTGTGTGTATATATTATATATGATATATATATACATACATAGTTTCTTTTCCTACTCACTTTCCTTTCCTTTAAAAAACAAAAACAAAAACCCCTCTTCCCTTTTGGCCTTCCTTCCAGGGCTTTTCAATCCCAGAATCCCATGCTTCAATCAGAGTCCCCACCTGCAAGGTGGCTAAACTAACCACCTTGGGTACCAAACACGGGCACTGCACACACGGACTTGCCAATCAAGACCCATCACAGTGTTAGCTCGCAGTGTACTTCCAGCAAAGCCACTCATCTATGCCTGTGACAGGAAATGTCACAGTCCCCAGGAGGAAGGGAAGACAACTGATACCGAAGCTCTGAGTCAGCGCCCCGCCATCCCCCACCCCCCCCCCTCGTCATCAATGGAGCAGAAGGACTGTAATCACGGAGATCAGGAGGGAGACCCTGAAAGACAAGACTGAAATACTGCGACCAACTACGCACCACTCAGGCTTCCCAGGATGCCCTGCTCCACTGACCACACAGGGCCGAGGGGGCAAATGAAGAGCTCCTTGATCGGGGGCAAATGAAGAGCTCCTTGATCCCTATGCAAGGCCAACACTGAGGTCTGCACGTTTAGCTGAAGCAGCTCACTCAGGTTTGGCAATTTAGCCGATTAATTTAAAACAGGAAGCCCTGGATTTCCGTAAAGCTTTGCTAAGTGTTTGTTTACCAGGGTTGATTGTTCAACTGTACACATTCTTTGTGCATGATTACTTTTCCCTTGAGAGTTAAGGCTAAACTGTTCTCAAAAGCAGCAATTTCAGACTGACACTTTCACTCCTCCCATAACCTGTACTGATTTGGAAGGCAAAGTGACAGCGAAATCTTCTGCCTGTTGGTGTCCTCCCCAGATGCGCACGGTGCGTGTCAGGGATCCAAGCACTTGGGCCATCTCCATTGCTTTCTCAGGTGCATGAACAGGGAGCTGGATTGAAAGTGGAGCTGCTGGGATTCGAACCAGCACTGCTATTGGATGCCAGTGCTGCAGTCTGTGGCCTTACCCACTGTGCCGTCGAGTCAGCCCTGCCTCTTTCACTTTCAGTCACATACTTTTCCAAACACACAGAACTGATGCCTCTGAGCAAAGGGAGGAAAGCAAAGGCTGAGGACCATCACCCAGAGTAAAAGACTCATCTACTGTCCAGCCAACAGAGGCATATGCACAGCGTTTGGCGTCACACCCAGGAAGCCTACCACCCAGTGGGAGGCAAGTTCTGGCTTCTGTTCCAGCTGAACCAGGAGGAAGCAGCAGCTTCTTCATGGAGCGGAAATGGAGACGCGGCTAGCGGCTAGCAGCCAGCTCCCAGCCCGTGGTGTCATCTCACTTCCAGCCCGGAACAGCCCTGGTTTCTCCCAGTTCTCCGCCCCTGCCCGGAAATCGCAGAGGAATGACTTACATGGCTCTCTGGCAATGAACTGAGGTACAGTGTTGGGCACGGGAGCACTGGGGTTTGGCGTCCCTACGAGTTTGTTCTTGGCCATCTTCGTGTTTGCCTTTGCAAACTCTAGTCGTAGTGTTTGCGGTATTTCAGGGTCGAAGCGGATGCCCTTTGGAAGAAAGAACAAAATGCAAGATGTGACTGTGATGCTTTCATTTCCTCCGCACTGCGCTGGAATGGCAACAGAATAAACACACCCAGATACTCCGGTCTGTCAGTGAAAAAAAGGAGGTCACCAGCGCCCTCATTCTCCCTACGATCAGGGAAAATCCACAACATGTTATGTCCATGAGAACCAAGGGGCTTTAGCTTACTTCACTGCAAACTAATGAGGGGGATTTTCAAAACTCACTCTTATTCTTAGGGGTGTGTCGGGGGTGGTTTGGACCTTTCTGGTTCAACTTTCAAATTCTGGGCCAGCAAATTCCTAGCACCAGAAACGTAAAATACTCAGATCAAATGGCCACCAATGAGAATGAAAATTGTGACCGGGATACAAAGAACACAGAACACTTGGCACCACTGGAGCCCGACACCAGAAACCCCAGGCGGCCTTGAGCTACGCCCGGCCTCATAACACGGAAGGCTGCGTGACCGTCCATGCGGTTAGTCCTACTCCCTATGCAGAGAGAGCCAGCTTCCACCCACCCAGCTTCCCAATCACAGTTCGTTGTAAAGGTAACCCAAGCACCCAGTGTTTGGTGGGAGACAGAAATTAACCAGCTCGAAGATTTCAGCGTAACCAATAATCTTTCATTCCAGTTAGCTTGTGAATGTCAGGAAATTTAAACTCCTTGATTCCGTCAGGTTCTGACTTTGACTACAATTGGCTTGCTAGCTACATAGAGAAACAAGGATTATACAGGCCAAAGAGCAAGCTCAATTACCTCGACCCTATTCTTGCAGTTCATCAAAACAAAATTAATCACTAACATTGTCGAAAGACAAGACTTGGGTGCAGCACGTCAAGCCCTCTGCTGCCTGTATTGCTGGCATCTCTTGTCAGATCACAGTTTAAGCTGCCTGACTCAGCTCCTTGCTATTGCCCATGGGAAAACAGGACGGTGTAGTCCCTTGGGTCCCCATCACCCATGAGGGAGATTCAGACAGGAGTTTCAAGTTCCTAGACACTGGCTTGGCCCAGACCTGGCTGTTGTGGCCACATAGGGGAGTGAACCAATAGATGAAAGGTCTCTACCTTTGAACTTCACAGGCTGAACACGTGAGAGGCTGTGAATGCATGCTAAGAGATATGAGAAAGCAGAGGTGAGGAAGGCAAGGCAAGAGAAGGGCTGCCCAGCCTCTCTCCGGGTGCCTGATTCATGCCTTCAGAGATGGAACCACAGAACAGTGCACTTGCGTGGGGGAACACAGGAGCAAATGTTTTGAGGAGATACTGGGGAAGTCCTGCCACCTTCTCCACACAGACGTCTAGCAGGGAGGAGACAGAGCTGGCCTGGGATGCAGCGGCAGCAGTTCCTGCCCACGGCTGCGGATGGCACCTCCTCGTCCGGAGCCCTCTTCTAAATAAGGAGCTGGGAGCTGTGCAGAGCGGCCCCTGGCCATCACCTCGAGGTCCTCTGGGGAAAGGTTTGTGCCTGTGCTCCACTCTCCAACCCACAGAGGCCACCTGCCACCTCTTCCACAGAGGCCTCGGTGGCACGCAACTCCACCTGCTTCCTGGGGAACACACCACTTTCCAAGACCAGGACCCACCTGTCCAGCAGCTGCGCATCCTGGAGCCTGGCTGTGGTCCCCCGGAACACCCAGCCTCACCCAGCATGGCCACAAGTCTGCTATGCCACAACCTATTTGAAGCTCCACACCCGAGCTCCCCTCTTACAGAATCCGGGTTGGCGGGCTGCATCCACACACAAACTGAACCGAATCCCCCCACTCCCCTTCTCACACCCCTCATCTTCTTTGAGCTAAAATAACATCAACATTATGTTCCAAAGCAAAGATCCAACAACCGTGTTTTAACAAAGAAGAAGAAGAAAACGAAAAAAAACACTCACAAGTTCAAATGACCTAATTTGTTTGGCAGCTTATTCACAGGCAGAGGCTTAGAATGCAAGCCACATTCCTCTAGCATCTTTAACAGCAAGACCATATTTGGTAATCAATATCCTGAGCGGCTAACTTTCAGTCTACAGAGATTAGTGAAGCCAAAAACAGTTTAAATGTTAAAGGAGGAGGAGGAGGTGGGGGAGGAAGAGGCAAAGGAGAACACAAGAAGAAAATGAGAGAGATGAATAAGAGATAGGAAAGAGTCAGGTGGGGGGTAAGCCCTGTGCTTTTAATTAAAACCTAAAAAGATGCTTTTCTGGCAACACCGTGTTCACGTGAAATGCTGTCAGGATAGGTGTACCAAGCGAAAGGCTGGCACCAGTGGTCCCTCTCACAGAGGAGAGCCAAGTGTCGCACTGCCATGGAGGAGAAGGGCGCTTTCTGCATATCAAGACAACGTTCATTTGAGAGCCAGGTTTCTGTAAGCTAGCAACACGGACTGCCAACAGCATCAAGCAAACGTAGGCTCTGCGCTCCCCACCTGGGCCGGCTGCTGGAAGGAAGGCAATGACAGGCTGCTGCTGGAAAAGCAGTTCAACAGGTGGCAGTGCAGCAAAGGGCTCAGCAAGTTTGTGTGGGACAGGATGCAGGGAGGTATATGCTGGAGGTGAGAGGTGAGGGAGGGCCAGGAGAAGGCGGCTCCACAGGCAGGGGAGAGGAAAGACCTTGAAGGCCCCAGGGGCGGGCTGTCTGGCCTCACTGAGAGCCCCTGGGAGACCTGCTCAAAGACGCTTGGAACCACCCTCCAAAGTGCAGCTTGAAGAGCCTGCAGTTCTCACAAATTCCCAGGCAATGCTGATACTGCCTGGGCAGGGGCCACAAGAGGGGAACCCTGTTACTGGCAGATTAGCACTATGGGCTAAGGAGGAACTTAGAGCTGTTGGGGTGGGGCTTTCATCCCACTGGTCCTTGGAGAGGCAGGGCATGGGGGTGTTCATGCTGCATGCCTATCCATTTCATCAATTACTTTATGTGGGCCAGAAGTCACCCAAAGTGATGACACATGTTTGGTCCTCTGGGAGAATCAACCTTGACCGTCCAGACAGAGGAAACAGGGATGGGCAGTGCTTAGTCAACTTCTTCCCACACAGCTTCCCACCAGGGAGAAGGCCTCAAAACTCCTACCACTAGGCTCATCAGAGCACCCTGCTGGCTATTGGAATCTTCTGTCTTGGGTACAAGTCTGCCGGCTAGCTCAGGGTCTTTACAAATGGCCAGCCCATCAGTCGTGGACAATGAATTTCAGGGGCAACAGAATCATTCATTTACAGGGTGAAAAAATGAGGAAGAATGAGGCAGATCTATACGTACTTACTTAAAAAAACATAATGCCCATGGCTATACCAGGGTTCTTTTTTAATTCAACCATGTTTCATAGCACGGATATGACAGGTACAGTTCCCTGAGACTAGAAAATAGAAAAGGTCATCACGGGGCAACCAATGTGTTAATGGTGATGACCCTGATGAGGGGAAAGAGGACACAGCAAGCACACATCTCTACAATTTTGCCTGAAAATTTTTACAATTACATATAATTTTAATAATCTTTTATGTATTAACTTGAAAACAGAGTGACACAGTATGAAAGAGACAGAGAGAATCTCACATCTGTTGGTTCACTACTCAGATGGCCACAATAGTTGAGGCTGGGCTGGCCACTGTCTGGACCTTCCATCTGGATGGCAAAGACTATAGTACTCCATTGAGGCATCTTAGTAGGAAGGTGGATTAGACGTGGATTGGTTTGGGCTGGTGCAGTAGCACGACAGGCTAATCCTCCACCTGTGAGGGCTGGCATGCCCTTTGAGCACTAGATCATGTGCCAGATGTTCCACTTCCCATCCAGCTCCCTGCTGTGGCCTCGGAAAGCAACGGAGGACAGCCCAAGGCCTTGGGATCCTGCACCTGCATGGGATACCAGAAACAAGCGCCTAGCTGTGATCAACGGGACCACTCGGGGAATGAACCGTTGAATGGAAGATCTTTCTTTCTGTCTCTCCTTCTCTCTGTATATCTGCCTTTCCAATAAGGGGGAAAGAAAACCCTTAAAAACAAAACAAAACCTGGGCCCGGCGCGGTGGTGCAAGTGGTTAAGGTCCTCGCCTTGCATGCCCGGGATCCCATATGGGCGCCGGTTCTAATCCCGGCAGCCCCGCTTCCCTTCCAGCTCCCTGCCTGTGGCCTGGGAAAGCAGTCAAGGACGGCCAAAGCTTTGGGAACCTGCACCCGCGTGGGAGACCCGGAAGAGGCTCCTGGCTTCGGATCGGCATAGTATCGACCTGTTGCGCTCACTTGGGGAATGAATCATCGGACGGAAGATCTTCCTCTCTGTCTCTCCTCTCTGTACATCCGCCTTTCCAATAAAAAAATAATAAAAATAAATCTTTAAAAAACAAAACAAAACAAAACAAAACAAAACAAAACAAAACAAAACAAAACCTGGGGAGCGGAGACTATCCTAGACATTTAGATATGGGAAGTTGGTGTCCCATGTAGTGACTTGTTCCTCTGTACCACAGCACCCCCTTTATTTCCTAAAGTCCTAATTGATGCCAATACAGATTAAAAGTTAGAACAAATGATTTTCTACAGAGAGGTAGCAAGCAGGGCCAGTGGTAGAAAAGATACCCCAGCACCCAGCCAGCTGTGTTTGTCTTTTGGCAATAACATCAAAGGTACAGACAAGTTGCAGGCTCTTCCTATTACACACACAGAACTGCCTGCCCTTGTAACTCGTGGTGGTCAATCATAAGGATGCTGCCTCTTTAACCTCTTCTTCAGCTGGCTTCCCCAAATCCAGAACATCTCTGTGTATTCCTGTTCTATGATCCAACCCAGAATCACACACAGCATTACAGTTGCCACATCTGGTTAGTCTCCTTTAATGTGGAAAAATTTTTTTTTAGTCCTTGTCTTTTGTGACCCTGGCATTTGAGAAGAGTACAGGCTATTTATTCCTCAGAATGTCCCTGAATTTGGTTCTATCTAAGGTTAGGCATTTTTGGCAGGAATATTGCAGCAGAAATTCTGTGTTCTG